TAATAATAATAATAATAATAATAATAATAATAATAATAATCCTAATAATAATAATAATAATAATAATAATAATAATCTTATCTTATATATAAAAGAAAGAAACGCTAGGGCAACCCTAAGAAACCCTAATGTCTTTGTAATTCTTTTTCAATTTTTATCAAATTTTTATCTCCTTAATATTATTTTAAATATTATTTTCGAATTTTATCAGATTTTTGTCTCCTAAATATTATTTTTTATTTTTATCAAATATCGATTTTCATCAATTTTTTATCTCCTAGATATCTTATATACAAAAGAAAGAAACGCTAGGGCAACCCTAAGAAACCCTAATGTCATATTTGTAATTCTTTTTCAATTTTTATCAAATTTTTATCTCCTTAATATTATTTTAAATATTATTTTCGACTTTTATCATATTTGTATCCCCTAAATATTATTTTAAATATTATTTTTTATTTTTATCAGATTTTTGTCTCCTAAATATTATTTTTTATTTTTATCAAATTTTTACCTCCTAAAAATTTTTTAAATAATATTTTTTAATTTTATCAAATTTATATCTCCTAACTATAATTTTAAATATAATTATCAACTTTTAGCAGATTTTTATCTCATAAATATTATTTTCGAATTTTATCATATTTATATCTTCTAAATAATATTTTAAATATGTTTTTCGAGTTTTATCATGTTTTTATTAGTTTTTTATCTCCTAAATATTAATTTTGTTTTTTACCAAATTATTGTCTCCTAAATATTATTTTCGATCTTTATCAAATTTTTAACTCCTAAATATTATTTTAAATAATAATTTTGGACACATCATCTGTAACCGTAACAATAGAATGGCCCTTCTTCTCAACCATCCACAAGCCCTGGAAAAATCAAGAAACTAAATCAAAACCAAATTAAGTGGGATTCCACCAATTAATCAACGAACGAGATTTGCCAAACATACCCTCATACCTCAACAACATAATTTCCGAAACACTCACTTATTCCCATCGGGGAGATATATATATATCTCCTAAATAATATTTTAAATATTTTTACAGAAAAGGGTAAATAAATCTGATTTTCATCCCTAGCGGATTTTGTGACATCGTTTTACTGAATGTCTGCAACATTTGAATTTTATTTCTTCCCTACCTAATGCTTATTCTTTTGGTAACCCGACTTTAGATTTTGTTTCTTATATTCTTCTTCATCCTATTGACTGTGTGGCAATTAGTTTACATTTTTTTCCATCATGGCTTATAGGTAATTTCATTTTGTTAAATTATGTGTTTCATTAATTTATATCAAGGTTTTCAAATTTTATGTATAACAATTATTTCATTTTATATGTTATTGGACATGTTATTGAAAGGGATGATTTGAGAAAAGTAACAAAAAATGGGCGGAGCCACAAGCTATTGGAAGTCGACCTTCAAGACTTATTGTTTGTATGCGATATTTAATTTATTGTTTATATTTATTTTTGTTTCTTAATTTTCCAATTGTTAATTCCAGTGACAAAACAACCTTAAAATGGGGCAGTGGAGAAGGACTTAGTTCCGATGCAATTAGATGTATAGATGGCCTTTAATTTTACGATGGTATGTTGTCGATAGTTTAGTTTTGATTATGTTAACTTAGTTATTAAATCTAATTACTTTTAAGCTCAACATGAAAGACATAATTGATGATTTTTTTTTCCTGGTTCAAATTTTCAATCTACTGGTATTAGCTGATTCAATTCATTTGGAAAATTATTCAACAGTAAAGTTATGTCCTTTTTTTTTGTGTGTAGTATACTTAATAATGTTCCAGTATAATAGAATTTTGATCATACGATACATCAAACGTTTGTTTATATTCTTACAACATCAAAACAATGCAATTTGTTGTCCCGTGCATCGCACGGGTACAATTACTAGTAATAATAATAATAATAATATTATTATTATTATTATTATTATTATTATTATTATTATTATTATTATTATTATTATTATTATTATTATTAGGCTTAATCCCACTTTGCACCTTTAAAATATACCATTTTGGCAGTTTGCACCCTCGAAACACAGTATATCATGGATAATGCATTCCTACATGATTTTATAAAGCTAATAAAGGTGATTTAATATTTTTTATTGGTATTTACAAATTATATTTTCTATCACAAAAAAATATTGTATGAAAAGAAAATCCTTCAGCTATTTCGTTATCAAGTTATCTAAAAATCATATTTTCTTCCAAATATTCCATCTAATGTTTCCACCAATTACAATAAAAGATCTATCGATCGAATAACGTGATTAAAGTTTGTTTGATTTTATTTTGTAAGAAAATACAATATTTTTTTTTTCAATTATCCGGTGCGATTTTTATATTTTCGCCTTTTGAGCGCTCAAAATTTGTTATTTTGCACTCCAGAAAAAAAAAATAAAAAATAAATAAAAAATGAATTATCATTTATTATTCAATTCATGGTACATTGTGAATGATTTATTGTATTTTGAGGGTACAAAGTGCTATTATTATTTTTCAAGGGTGCAAAGTGGAGTTAAACCTTATTTAAGACTACTTTGGGAATCTTTCGTGAATATGCCAAGTCAACAATTAAATTAAGTTAGATTGCTTGCTGGCAATAAAAATATAACGAAGTTGCGTGCACAACAAAATGTTCATTTCTTGAAAGTTTACTCCTTCCAAAGAGTACAAGTTTGATGAACTTGCAAATTAAAAATAAATAAATCAATGGATTAATGATTAGAAATTGAGCACTAATTAAGCTATGTGTATGTATGTATCTTAAGTAAAATCAAAAATCAAAAAACAATTAAACCACCTTATGCAATATTTCATATGCATTTAACATAATCATGAGAATTAATGAAATTAAATTCCAATACATGGCATAATTACAAAAGAAATTAATATAATCAACATATAATAATATGTGATTTAATTTAATTGCAATAGTCAATATTTTGATTGCAATTTCAAAATCTATTGTTAGGTGTAATAGGGTAACCAATACCATGTCGTTTAGTAGGAAAAGCCACAAACAACAAACTTGCAATAAATCCAATCCCAATCGGAACAATATCCAAAACCTCTTGAGCTTCTTGATTTGGCATAGGGTAGAAACACCCCACAATATTCTTGTCCCTCAACGCCACCGCGACAAACACGAGCACCGACAAGACCGCATGCACCACGTCGACGAAGCTCAGCCGGTACTTGCTCAGCTCCGGCAGCCCTCCCGCCGCCGCCGCACCGGGGTTGTCGAACAGCCAGAGGCCCTTCGGCGTCACGAGCCCGTAGTAGACTTTTCCGTCCGTTGAGGACTTCACGCTGTCGGTGAACGATGCGAGAAAGCACGAGAGGGTGAATATGACGAGGAGGACGAGGGTCATCGGCCGTGTGGCGGAGTCGCACGATCCGTTTTTGGTGAAGATTGGTGTTAGGATTTGGAAGGCCAATAAGGTTCCGGTCGGGAGGAGGTTGGCTAGATGTGCCGAGCTTTCTAGGGCTTGTGAGAGAGCGCTTTGTGATGGCGGCGGCGGCGGGGGTTTGTCGGCAAAGTCGTCGTCGTTGGGAGGAGGGGTGGCGGTGGCGGTGGATGGTGGATCGGAAATTATTGGTGGTCTTTGTCTAAGAGACATTATGAATTATGATATTATTGAGGATGGATTTTTAGGGGTTTTTTTTTTTCTTTTTTTTTTTTGGGTTTTTGTGGATGGTTGAAAATGTGTTGTGTGGAGTTTAATTTGTGGAGGGGGGAGATTATATAGGTGTATTTGTTAAGGATGTGATTGCTTGTTTTGGATGGTTAGTTGAGATATTGATTAGGTGTTTGTGATTAATCTTTAAAATATTGCCTTTTAACTTGTCTCCCATCATTTCCAACATATGGGAATTATACTTATAAGGTTCCCCTTTAGTTTATAACATATATATTTGACCTTTAACGTACTAGTATTTTTTCTTCGTGCGATGCACGGGATATTATTTCAAAAGAAAATAAAATAAAAAGAATGTAATACATAATAAGGAAAGTACACGAACACAGTAAAATATAATAATGTAGTATTATTCATATTTTAGATAACATATTTTACACGTTCACCCTTGCGGTTTGAAATTTAGTGGAATCTTCTAGATTATATGTAATATTCTCAAGTTTGTACCTGTTTTATCCCAATCGAAATCCACATTTTGAAACAAGATGATCATAAGATGTGTTTTTTGGTTTGTATATATCAAATTGTAGTGCATGAGAAACTATATTTTTGCCAAAACGAGTACAAACTAGAGAGAATTCCACGAAATCTATATAATTATATTGAATTTGACATCATAAAGGTAGAGGTGTAAGAAGATTCATAATTGATGGGCAGATACAATTATCCAAACAAAAGGGATTTTTTCGTAATTTGACCATACTTCAGGGAGGTAGTTATAATTTACCCTATTATATATATGGTGCTTGTGTTGTTACCCTATTAGAAGTTCCGAATATTTTCAATTTTGGAAATTTTTGGATTCCAGAAGTTCCGACTCCTAATTTATTTTGAATTAAACAGAAGTGAAAAATGTATTAATTAGGTTCTCATTTCCGATTTAATTTTAATAATAATATTACAGGTCAAAACTACTATTTCCATTTACCCCATTCATTTTATATTATATTCCCTTAAATTACCGTACTCAGTTTCTTGCCCCCAAACTTTAAGACTTGGGTCTTCACGATTACTTGCTGCAAATGTGAAAAATGACATGATTAGGAACAAAATCATCCCCCAGGGGTAACGTTGGTATTTATGAGGAATATTCTATAAAAATGAAAAAAAGAAAAAAACATAAATTCAGAGAAAACTAAAAAAATGTAATGGGCTGCCCATAAAATAATGAAAAAAAATAAAATAGAAATAGAAATAAAATATAACAGGGGGGCTTTGTGTGTGGATTTATGCACTGTTTGGTGGTGGTGCTCATAGAAATAGAAATGATCCTCCCCCTCCACCACCACCGGTGAGACGATCGGGATATTTAGGAAAAGAGTTCGTTAAGTGGTTAATTAGGTTGGAGAAACAACGGTCTTCGCTACAAGTAGCGGAGACCGAATTGGATAGACGCGGGGATGAGATAGCCACCCTACTTTTAGGAACTCTGACGATATATTTCTTGATGATCGCTGCGTTATCCGTAGGAGGAGATATAGTGACAATGTCTGACCATATGTTCTATACACTCTCGGCGTTGTTGTGCTTCACTTATGCGGTCGGATATGGGATAGCAGCCTTTGTTGCGCACAACAAGGTCAAACGTGTTCGGTGGGCCATGATCGAAATCAATAACCGACGAACCGATATCATAAATAACGCCGACGAGCTAGAAGGGCATTTGGGAAGCGTCACACTTGCCGAGGTTTACAATAATACCGAATCCCCTCTTCGCCATAATGAAGCTCAGAGGAGATTAAGTGTACTGAAAAGTACACTTAATGTGCCTTCTGAGCAGGCATTTCAAGGCGACCACATGAAATTTCTGGTTTCGACATCATTTGTTGCTACATCTTACCTTGTTGCTGTCATGTGGTGGAACCACAAGCTCCATACTGGTAGTGGTAGGTGTTCTCTACTGTCATTCTTTTTCTTTTTTTAGCCTTTTAATATTATATTTTTTAATTTTTTTTTCTTATGTTTATTTTTATATTTTGATAGGTTGAGATCGGTGGGCCATGGCGTTTTCGGCTTTTTTGATGGTTTGTTTGTTGTTCTTTTTGCAAGGGCTGTCTGTTCTTAATCATATATATGCTTGTTTTTCGGTTTTTAATATTCTTAATTATTTCCTTTCCCCACTCTTTTCTTAGGGCATGCATGATTCGACGGCGGCTACTTGAAAGGTATAATCCGACTTTGAGTTTTTTTGTTTATTCTGCTCTGCTCTGCTTGTTTGTCTGTTCTGCCAACTCTCTCTTATCGCATTTCAAATATCGAGATAAAATTTAGTCCCTCGTGATGGTATTATTGTCCTAGTTTTTTCTTTTTCTAAACTTTCATTCCTCTTCCATTTTCAGATTATTATGAAGGTACCGGGAGTAGTAGTTACTTAATTTTGGTGGTACTTCATACTATATTATTGCCCGTAAACTTTCGAACTAATATGTAACCGATGCCAATTTTTGTACTTAATATTTCTAACCCTGGCTCGGCAATTTTTTGACTAATGTAATTCGCAAGTACACTATTATGCTAATACCCAGATTTGTATTTTAAGTTCGTCTATACATTTGCGATGGCTACAAAAATTATCTTAAATTCGTCTGTTGAGCTAGCTGTATGTTCCTTTCTCCTATTTCTGTGATTGTTATAATTTGTAAGTTGTTGGCATTAAATTAAATTTTATATATGCCAGTGTGAAACCTTTTTGAGAATCTGTTTCAGATTCTAGAAATATTAGTTTTATCTGATTTGTGTACTAATAATCCAAAGATAAAATTAACTTCTTTTTTTTTTTTTTTTTTAATGGAAGTTACTCTATAGTCAACTAATACATACATATGAGAAACAAAAGTGAGGATGCTAGTACAGAGTGATGAATTAGATAGATTCAGCAAAATCTATAAGCAGAACTTATTTCGTAAATTAAATTGATTGAAAGTTGAAACGACTAAGATTACCAAAACTTACCGTAATCGAGCGTCGTAATCAAGCCGAGGATTTTTTTTCGATTTTTGAATGTGTTAAGAGAGCAGGGGAGGGTTTGAGAGAATTTGGAAGGTAATTTTTTTCAAGTGAATGAAATCCCGTTGCAATGAGTAAAACTGTTGCTGCAAATAGCAAGCCCCTTTCTCGTTTTCTTGTTTTTCTTTCATTTAATAAAGTAATTGTAAAACAAATGTGAATGACTTTTCATGTTGGTTAGGTGATAACTTTGTGAATTTGTGTGAAGAATGTAATTTAAACAATATCTGGTTAAGAAAGGTAGATTTTCCATTAAACCACCAGTCCAATTAATATGATTATTCCTGATTAATTTCAAATCTCCAGGAAATTTGTATAATTAGCTAGCTGCAAATTACACCGAACTTTACTATTGTGTAATTGTAGCCTGATTATAATTTTGGTTTGTAAAATTCTTTATGTTCATTTGGAAAGCCATACTCCATAGATTGTTGTTTTGCTCGAAAAGTTGATATAAAAACTTGCATAATTTCGATTTTGACCCTAGGTAATTAATTACCCCTGATGATGTTACTGAAAAAATGGAAAAAAAAAAAAAAAAAAAAAAAAAAAAAATCAACTAAATTACATTACTGAACAACTACCTAATTACATTACTGAAACGGCCTCGGGACAAAATTTTGAAAGAAGCTAGCTCTTCGAATCAACTTCACCGGACAACTCTCGTATACGTCCATATATCTAAATCACAAGTACTCTTAATTGCACTTAGTTGTAAGCCTCAAAGCCACATAACCAATCATAATAATGGTAAACGTTTTCCATTTCAAACTCCCTCAAACGAATCTTCTCCACCATATTAAATTTCAAGTTATAGAAAAACATTCCTCTGCATTTCCAGAACAACACCAACTCGTCGTTTTTAATGGCTACAACTCTTATCTCATCCAATAGATAGTAGAGTACTCCACCAATACCTTCTTCCATGGGATATTTGTTCATGTCCCAATCGAGATTAACAATGTACTTTCTAACCCAACGCCACTTCGCGTAGTCCTCCAATATCCATATATCCATTAACGGAGCTTCATGCCCCACAATGCAAAAACACAAACGATTGTCTTTCACCAAAAGATGTCGTACGAAGCAACCCCCTCGATGATAGTCTCCTTCGAAAGGAAGAACCCTAATAGAGAACTCTTCGTTAATAATATCAAACACCATGATTTCACCTATGTCCCAATGCAAAGCATCATTCATGTTTGCCGGATTACCATCAATGCGGTATCTACCTTTTACATTCCTCGACTGTGAAGGTATGCGAGAGAAGTACGGATTCTCAATTCTCCTCCATTTTTTTGCTCCGAATAGGTAAATATTATACTCGTACCTGTCGGTTTCTAATTTAAGCACATTAAGAATCCTATACTCCTTTGCCAAAGGATGGTAGAAAAACCCGCAAAAGTGACCTCCCCTAAAAGGACCGTATATTTTTTGTTGTATTTCGTTTGATGAAGGGTTAACGACAATGTGTAGGGATGAAGGAGTAGTCGAGTGGAACAAAGCTAATCCGTTGCAACAACCGACGAAATAAGCCTCTTCAATTGACTTGAGGCCCTTTATCCTACACTCCTTTTCAGATTGCCCATCGATGATAGAAATCCTTAGATGTCCGGGACCCCAACAATTACCGGAACAACAGAAATAGCGAAGAATTAGTGGTCTTACCGACGACGACGACGACGATGCAAAAATCAACCTCAACCACTTGTTATCATCAGCAGCATTAATATTATGGTCACCCATTATTTTCTTAAAGAGGTGAATGAGCCACTTATAACATACAAGGACCATATTTTCTGCGGAAGATTTCAAACATAGATCAAGTGTGTGTATATATATATATATATATATATATATATATATATATATATATATATATATATATATATATATATATATATATATATATATATATATATATATATATATATATATATATATATATATATATATATATATATATATATATATATATATATATATATATATATAAAGTTGGTCTGCTGTTGTGGTGGTTATACCTATTTAGGAGGAAATAGTTATTATCAAACGTTTAACCACCATTTACGCACTCAAAACTAGAAATTTTTAACTTTAATGGATGTTGATAATTCACCTCTTCGGATATCTAAATATACAAGTTGATTATTCTTTATTATTCGCTAGTAATTTTAGAATATTTTCAATTTCAAACTTTAAATTAATTGTGATTGTAAAATTAAAAATTCAACGACAAAAAAGACAAAAGGTAAAAACAAAATATTGAAATTAAATTATCAAATATTTATTTGATATTTGAGATAATATTTTAATATTGATTAAAATTCATCTACTCCAACCAGATTTATGGGTGATTTTATTTATCATTGTCCCATGTCAACTTATGATTGCATGTGTTTAGATAGTTACATTTTTTATATTTCAAATTTCCGCAAAATATGTTTACATCCCAATATATAGGTGAATTATCAAAATAAAACCATCATTTGGTAACCCCATTATGAATTAAAAATTTGTATTTTTAGGTGCATAAATGGTGATTAAATGTTTAAATATCATGTTTGATAATCCATTGGAGTTGCTCTTAAATAATTTTTTTTCGTAAACTCTATATTAAATACCTAAAGTGAAATTACTTTTGAGTATAGCTCTTTTTATTATTTTTTTAGCCTGATATAGTAACTCAAAATTGTCCAAATAAAAAAAAAATAGGAAAAATTAGAACCACACCCCTAAAGTATGCTAAAATAACTTTAAGGTGCTTATGATATTGGTAATTACAACGACACCCCTAAAACAATTATCGGATTCAAGATTTCACATCTTAGGGACCAATATGCACTACATTTGTACCCGTTAAGGTTACCATGGACATAAATTTTATAAATATTATATAAAATAATAGGATTTAAAAAAATATTGGGAGAGCCCTGTTGTTACCTCCTAGCTCTATGTTGTCTCCAGCATTGCTTGAAACTAATAGGCCGTTAGAATCCTAACGAAATAACTTATCCAATGAATTATCTCGTTATGGTTTCTAACAATGTTTCGGGCGTGATTGTAATTACTAATACTATAGGGACCTTAAAGTTATTTTAACATACCTAAGGGGCATAAGTGTAATTATTATTAAGACTACTTTGAGAATCTTTCGTGAATATGCCAAGTCAAAAATTAAATTAAGTTAGATTGCTTGCTGGCAATGAAAATATAATAAAGTTGCGTGCACAACAACATGTTCAATTCTTGAAAGTTTACTCCTTCCAAAGAGTACACATTAATGAACATGCAAATTAAAAATAAATAAATCAATATTAGAAATTGATCACTTTATGCTATGTGTATGTATGCAATATTTCTTATGTTATACGATATATTATTTAATATATCCTTTAATTATTAGTTAGTTAGTATTTTATTATTAATTAATTAGCATAGTATATTTATAATATACATATAGTCGAGTGTTTAGGTTTAGGATATATATATTAAGTATTTAATTAGTATATGTAATTATGTTTCCTAGTTAGATTATGATTCTAGGGTTTTATTATCTTTAAATAGTCGTCTTGTGCTAGGGTTTTATTATGGAGATAAATAATAAAGAAGAGTTTTCTTACGTCTAGTAAAGAATTCTTATGATACTCAAAAGATCGTATCAATTGGTATCAGAGCGAAGTTGCGATAACACCACCGCTTCATTAGCAATGCAGCGATTATATCAGAGCTATGCAGGAGCAAAGTTGAGATCACATTAAAACTTTGTGAAAATCATGATGTTACAAACAAGACGGTTGGAGCGATTGAAAAAATCCGTAGAGAAATTACGCATTAATTTTCAGAAATTGCTCCAACAAAGTCAAGGACAACGTTAACGCCATCACAAAAGTCGAAGGGACCGCTGCCCGTCACCGCCACGGCCATCGCCACCACCGCCGCTGCCGAGCCTATCATCGGACGGAGAGGAAGAGGATGATGATGACTTTTTTGAAGAGCCCCAATTTTTTGTGAGTTCGCCGAAAGAAGAATTATCGGATTCACTTGAGGTAATTTGCGACGAAGATGAGAAATTAACCAAGGAAGATTGCGAAGAATTACAGTGGATATTAGAAGGATACCACGATATTGAATAGAAAGAAGACGAACAAGATTTGGTGACTGTGAATGAGTCAGGATCTGTAAAGACCACTGAGAAAATTAAGAGCATGATAATTATTGTGAAGGAGATGAAATTTGAAAAGGCTATTGAGAAGGTTTATTTGCCGGGAAAAAAATTAAACATTTTTGCTGAAGTAGCCTTTAGAATTTTATTGGATCAGCATGAACAATGTGTTAAAAAGCTTGGTCGTTCATCGTGTTTTTTGGAGTCGATCGAGAAGCAAGTCGATGAACAAGTCGATGAACTCAAATATAGGTAGAAACGCAAAGGAGAGGGACCAAATGGACTCGAACCTTGAGGACAAGGTTCATTTCAAGAGGGGTGGTTTGATACGATATATTATTTAATATATCGTTTAATTATTAGTTAGTTAGTATTTTATTATTAATTAATTAGCATAGTTACAGAGTGTTTAGGTTTAGGATATATATTAAGTATTTAATTAGTATAGGTAATTATGTTTCCCAGTTAGATTAGGATTCTGATAAGTGTTCGTTTTGCAGGATTTTTGCTTATCAAATCTTCGAGTTTTGGTCTTCGTTCGTCCGAGTTTCGGCTTTATTTGTATATATTATTGTGTTCTTGTTTTATTTCTGGGTTTTATTAGGTATTTTTGCCGAGTCGGAGCCATTTGAAAGCGAAACCGAATTTTCAAGCCAATTTTGGGGCCAAGAAGACCCAGATCGCGATCTGACATCTCTGGATCGCGATCTGGGGGTTGTCACAGTACGAAAATGGATCAAAACCCAGATCGCGATCCAGCATTCCGGATCGCGATCTGGGGTGCTGACAGAGAAGAAATAGGGGTCAAATCCAGATCGCGATCCAGAAAGCCGGATCGCGATCTGGGGGGTCTGACAGAGAAGAAAGTGGGGTCAAATCCCGATCGCGATCCAGAACGTCTGATCGCGATCTGGGGGGTCTTACAGAGAGTAAATGTTACAGGACCCAGATCGCGATCCGACTCTCTGGATCGCGATCTGGGCACGCCTTTTGAGGAAGATATTTTATTTTGCAAAACTTCTTGAGGAAGCTTTGCATTTCACTATAAATAGAAAGGCCCTTTTCATTCTTCATTCCTTCTTCGACTTTTTACGGTTTTCGACAGTTCTTCGCGGGAATCATCAATGGGGGTTCCGACTTGGGTTTTTCTTACACAATTTCTTTACGTTTTGTTCTTCATTTCCTTTGTACATTCTTTTGATACTATGTTCGTTATGAACTAAGAACATTTTCTTCTAGGGCAATGAAGCCTTGTATATATTGATTTCGATCGTCATTTCTATTATCTATTTGTCGTGTTTTGATTTCGTTTATGTTTTCTTGTATTAAATGCTTCTGATTGTGTTGATCAGCTCTCAGATTGATATTAAATAGGAATGAACTCGAGAGAGGATTTCTTGTTTGAAGTTAGGAAAACATAGCTCGGGGTGTGGAAAAGGAGACGTGATGCACTTCGAGTAGCCCTTAAGGACTTGACCTAAATGCTCTCTTAATAGCAGGTTCTGAACGGAGACGTCGGACATGTGGGTAGACTCTAACTACACTGGAGACGGGGGTTAGAGTACATTAACGTCTGGGTTAACGAATAGGAATGTGGCATTAGATAACGGATTTGTAGATCGTTGTTCATTATACATAGGTGGGTTTGGCCCTAGAAGTCCCCTTTAAATCGAAGTCCCCCCGCGTTGAGTTGTCGTTACTTAATTTACGTACATTCTATATTTGCATGTTAACGATCTTGCATGTTTTTAAATTAGGGTTTCTCACAATTCCAAATATTTACGATCGGCTAGATAATATAACGATAATATAATTACACTACTCAGCATGTGAATCTACAAGGTCCTTGTGGATCGATATCCGGAACCACTGTTTTGCAAAATGCGATACCGTATACTTGCGGTAATTTATACGTGAGGAAAACGCGTATCAGATTCTAAGGTTTTATTATCTTTAAATAGTTGTCTTGTGCTAGGGTTTTATTATGGAGATAAATAATAAAGAAGAGTTTTCTTACATTTAGGAAAAATAATTCTTATGATATCAAAAGATCGTATCACACCGTGACAAACACGAGCACTGACAAGACCGCATACACCACGTCGACGAAGCTCAGCCGGTACTAGCTCAGCTCCGGCACCCCTCCCGCCGCCACGCCGGGGTTGTTGAACAGCCAGAGGCCCTTCGGCGTCACGAGTTCGTAGTAGACTTTTTCGTCGGATGCGGATTTTACGCTGTTGGTGAACGATGCGAGAAAGCACGAGAGGGTGAATATGACGAGGAGCACTAGGGTCATCGGTCGCGTGGCGGAGTCGTACGACCCGTTTTTGGTGAAGATCGTTGTTAGGATTTGGAAGGCCAATAGGGTTCCGGTCGGGAGGAGGTTGGCTAGGTGTGCGGAGCTTTCTAGGGCTTGAGAGAGCGCGCTTTGTGATGGTGGCGGTGGCGACAGTTTGTCGACAAAGTCGTCGTCGTTGGGAGGGGTGGCGGCGGTAGCGGCGGTGGATGGTGGATTGGAAATTGGTGGTCTTTGTCTAAGAGACATTATGATATTGTTGAGGATGGATTTGAGGGCTTTTTTTTGTTGTTTTGTAGTTTCTTTTTTTCTTTTTTGTGGATAGTTGAAAATGTATTGTGTGACCGGTCTCCACTGTTGACTTTTTGGATTTTTTTTTTTCTTTCTGTAACATTTTTTTGTTTAAACAACAATATTGTCGTGATTGACAGTAATATTAACTATATTACTGTTAAACACAGTAAAATTCACTAAACTACAGTTTAACACAATATTGCTATATTAATCTCTAGTACATTAATATTAACACAATAAAATTCATTATTATTGTGTAATAGAGTAATATTACTATGTTGACCGTTCAACAAATGTAAACATAATAAAAATCCGAAAGAATTAATATTACTGTGAGTGACAGTAATATTATTATAACAACAGTAATATTACCGTCAACCATAGTAATATTACAATAATTGACAGTAATATTATAACGAAAAAATCCAAACAAAATAATAATATTGATGTAGTTGACAACAATATTACTATAACAACAGTAATATTACCGTCAACCACAGTAATATTATTGTGTTTACAGTAATATTACAATAATAGACAGTAATATTATTACGTTACTCCGTGAATAACTCAAACAAAACAAAAAACCCAAAAAAATAATAATATTGATGTTGTTGACAGTAATATTTTTGTGTTTACAGTTATTTTACTGTCAACGACAGTAATATAATTACGTTAACTTGTCAACAAATCAAACAAAGTAAAAAAATAACAAAACATAAAAAATAATAATATTACGTTAATTTACTGTCAACCGCAGAGAATTACATAAATGTATTGTCAACGGCAGTGCAATTACGTTAATTAACTGTCATTGACAGTATAATTACGTTAATTTACTGTCAGTGACAGCACAATTACGGTCAACTAGCAGCGGACGTAAAACAACAAAAAAAAAAAAAAACTTTAAAAAAAAAAAAAACTTAAAAAAACACTAAAAAAAGTCAACGTCGGAAATCGGCAAAAAAAATCGGAAGGAAAAAAAAAAGTCAAAGTCGGAATCCGACGGCAAAAAAACAATTTAAAAAAAAAATTGAAAAAAAGAGTCAAATTTGGATTTTTGTGGTCAAAATTGGATTTTTGTGGACAAAATTGATTAAATTGGGGTTACAATTAAGAATTGGATATAAATGGTTGGGGGTAATATTGGCGTATACATGAATGTTTCTTTTATTTATAATAAATATTAACGGTATGGGCTTATTGGTGAAAGAGATATAGCCCCTAAACCTAGAATAATAAAGATGTTTGATTGGGAACTTATGCACAAAAACCCCATTACGAAACCCCCTGAACTTAGGCTAAATAACGAAAAACACTCCCACCTATCCACAACTACCAAAATCCCCCTCTCGCTAACTGTTGACCGAGTTTTTAAACAAAAAATGTGTATAGTCTATTATACCTTGTTAAATAGGTGAGAAATAAAAGAAAATGTCCGAATTTGTGTAAAGTCGATTCCTTGAAATAAAAAAGATTTCATGAAAAGTCACACTTTGGTGTAAGACGGAAACAAATATCAAGGGGGTTTTGGTAATTACAAATACGTGGAGTTGACTTTCGTAATTTAACCTAAGTTGAAGAGGTTTTTGTAATTTACCCTATATTACATAGATTGTGCTTGTGTTGATATAAGTTAGGTTGAAAATTGGAACGGAGTTTTTGAAATCCTAGGTTGAAAATTGGAACGGGGTTTTTGAAATCCGTCCGTATATTCTGATCCGAATATTTTCAATTTTGGAACTTTTTTGATTCCGGAAGTTCCGGCTTCTAATTTATTTTGAATTAAACAGAAGTGAAAATGTATTAGGATCTGATTTCCGATTTAATTTTAATAATAATATTATGTATATTATAATATAGGGGACCAGTAAATGGGAATTACGAATTCAGCCGATTTGGTCTAGCTTTTCTTTTCTTTTTTTTCCTTTTCTTTTTTTTCCTTTTCTTTTCAACACAAGTTTTTATTATTCTAATTTCCGATTTTTCTATGAGTTAAAAAAAAAAAAAAAAAACCGACTTAGAGGGTGTTTGGCTAAGCTTATAAGATGTTTTAGAGCTTATAAGCTCTTCCAAAGTGTTTGGTAAATTTTTAGAAAAAGATCTTAATTTTTTTTAAAATAAGCTGTTGGAGACCAAATAAGATTTTTTCAAATAAGTATCTCTATCCCACCTTTTTATTTAAGATCTTTTTTGAGTAAAAATAGGAATGGAAATGCTATTTGCGGTCACAAAATTGCTATTCACGGTTTATAACAAAACCCCCCAAAACTTTTAAAAATAACAAAAAATCCCCCAAACCTGCAAATGGCAAAAAAAAAAAAAAAAATCGAAAATTCGAAATCAAGCTTGGAGAAGGGTTGGGCTTCGATTTTTTGATGTGATTTCGACTCTTTTATGTGTAATATGCATTGCGTAGGTCGATTACTGAACCAATTTCATGTTAAAAAGCCCTACAAATCGATTTGTAGGGCTTTTTTTTTAGCAAAAAAATTTTCGAACGCCCAAGATAGGCGCCCAAGGCGTGTACGAACGCCCGTTCGGCGCCCATCTTGGGCGTTCGAACATTAAAAAAAAAAAAAAAATTTGCCCTGGACGCCCAACTTGGGCGTGCACTGCATGAATGGGCGCCCAAGTTGGGCTTTTACGCATTTTGGGGGGGGGGGGGTTTGGATTTTTTTCGAAAGTTTTAGGGTTTTAGTGAAATAAAGTGTTTTTTTGGGGGGTTTTGTTAGAAACCGCAAATAACAATTTTCAAACCGCAAAAAGCAATTCCCTTTATTTAACAAGCGACTGTCTTTTTAATTGTATTAGAGTAAATATCATTTTACCCCCTGCAGTTTCATCTATTTGCACTTTAACCCCCCGTCATATCATTATAGGCCTTTTACCCCCCTGAGGTTTCAACTATTTGCACTTAACCCCCTGTCATATCAATTTAAGCCATTTACCCCCTGTAGTTTGGACAATGTAGCGGGCCTCAGTCTAGCCGTTACTAGAACTGACCACCGGTTCGGTTAGAACCGGAACCGGAACCGAACCGGGGTCAACGGTTTTAGAACCGAACCGGAACCGGAACCGGAACCGAAAAAACCGGTTCGGTTCCGGTTCCTCATTTTTGGAACCGGGAACCGACGGTTAGAACCGCAGTTCTAACCGTTTGAACCGGTTTTAAAAAAAAAAAAAATAATAATAATAATAATAATAATAATAATAATTATCTCTCTCTTTCTCTCTCTCTCTCTCTCTCTCTCTCTCTCTCTATATATATATATATATATATATATATATATATATATATATATATATATATATATATATATATATATATATATATATATATATATATATATATATATATATATATATATATATATATATATATATATATATATATATATATATATATATATATATATATATATATATATATATAAAAGTATTAAGCAAAAAAGTTTACGTATTTAAAAAAAATTAATTTTTATAAACATAAACACTTTAAAAAAAAAATAAAAAGTTTTTTTTATGTTTTTTAAAGTATTTTTTTAGTTATATATATATATATATATATATATATATATATATATATATATATATATATATAAATAAAAAAAAAAGAATTATTAAGAACCGAACGGTTCTACGGTTCTAACCGGGAACCGAACCGGAACCGGTTAGGAACCGAACCGCAAGGAACCGGGTTTTTTCGGTTCGGTTCCTCCAAAATCGGAACCGGAACCGGCGGTTCGGAACCGGAACCGGAACCGAACCGAACCGTGGTCAGGTCTAGCCGTTACAGGTTAACGGAGTGTGCATCTCACACGCTCGAAAATGACTTGGTTGAGTTTTCTTTACAATAAATTAATGTTTTAACACATTTTGAATGAGAAAAATCGAAAATTATAGAGTCATCAGCCCCAAAATGAAGTTTATAAAATTTTCAGTTCAGTCCTTACCATTTTAAAAACTTCTCTTCTTCAAATTAATATTATTACTCACGCGTTTATATTCA